TTTGTTGATATATGATCTATCTGACATAACTCGAACAACTGGTACTTGTTTTTGAAGTGACTGCATGCACCATCAGAAACATAACTAACATGCGTGTCAGGCTTGCGTTGTTCCTTCATATAGTTGTGCATTATTTGTAGAGCAAAACAGGCATGTGCAGCATCATGGCATGTGTCATCACTGATGACGGCAAAACTTTGAAGTAATAGCTTCCTTGTGACGACACACGTGAATATAGACACCTGCCTTTTGTGCCAGTGATATGACTCTACCTCATTCGGTAAAATGGCTGTCCAATTTTCGGGCGAAATCAAAGTGAAAAATGCAAGATTCTTTTTCTTGGTTCTCTTTCGCCTGTCGTATTGCTGATTCTTGAATGTATCTTATCTAATTATGGGTAATCCACTTCAAGAACTATAGACTTAGCTCTCGCAGAAAAGCACTTGCCTGGGCTGTTTTTTTTTACTAGATCGCCATTTTCCCATACTGCATAGGCTACCTGAATATCTTCAGGGATTCCTAAACATGTGGCTGTCAGAGCGTCCTCCTTAGCACAATAGTCACAGTGGCCTAAAACAATCACGTGTAGGGGAGCTGCAAAGACATAGTTCTTTCAAGAAGTCCGCCGTGTAGGCAACATTGGTGACGTCTTGTAGGGCAGAAACACTCTGTGGCATTAGCACAGTATATACAAAGGCACACTTTTTGGTGTGGTGCAAGAAGAACCCACTTCGGCCTCAGTGAATAAAACTTTGAGAGCCCAGTAGACGTGTTCGGATTAGCTTCTCTAAAGAGACGGTAAGCCTCTCGCACGGAACGGGTCATAGACTTTTTCAAAACAAGCTCCTTTTTCCGTCAATGATAACAAATACTACATCTTTTTTGTTGGGACTCTGAAGAGAGCAGCTGTACTCATCTTTGTAGTAGTAAGCCATAGCTGCCTGGACGTCCATTGGGTTCAGCCGTGTCCTTTTTACCGCATTTGGTGCTAACCATATCCCGTGTTTTGCGCGCCAGTGTCGGGATCTGAATAACATGCAAGCTGACAAGTTTGGTATAAGCGCTTGGAGTTTTCGGCGCCCTATATCGCTCGGCAACAGTGTCGACAAACGCATGCGCTCTTGATACAAAGAACACGCTTCATAGGCTTGCTTGAAGTTCTTGAACCACTGGGCACACACACTGCATTTTAGATCTGATGGTTGAAAGTTGTGGTTACACACGTTACGGTGGCATTTCACGGTTACTGTAGAATTGCTGCTAAGTTGTCTTGGCTCTGCATGAACATTGCTATTTTGCGCATGCAGCTTCTCCAGTCGCATATGTGACAATGCTTCAGGCGTGTTTACGCACCGCTCTTGACTTCTGCCTTTTTCTTCTTCCGGCAAAAACTCATCAGCTGTTTCAGCTGAGGAGCCATTAGACGAAGACAGCATATTTCTGAGGCGCCTGAAGCAGTTCTCGCAGACTGTGGTCGTTGTTATGTGCATGGCGGGCAGCTTTCGGCAAAAGCTTCTGGCGGGCAAACAGGCCGATGTCTTCGACCTTGTGGAAGTTTCTTTAATAAGGTATTTTCTTTTTATGCAACATGATGTAATCTGAACAAAATAACTCTATCCCGGCTGAAGTGGTCAGCCATCGCCACGCTCCTTGAGGCTCAAATTACTGGCAATGCAACTATGCGTGAAACCAGCAGCACGAAAGTGATCTATCTGTCGTCTGTTGCTATGTCTCTCACCTTTAATGAGAGCAGACGTAAAAAAGCGTGCGCAAGTATCCACAGTGCGAATGCAAACTGAAGTATAGTACGTTAAAACGAATTTAACGATATTTTCGTTGATAAGAAACGGGAGGCGTAATCTTTGTCCCTACTTTGAACCATATGATCTAAAGCATTGCCTCCGAGATGGGGCGCACAGCAATTCATCTGTAGAGCAGACGACAGATGACAACTTGCCCTAAAGCGTGTTCTTCAGTCTAATGCGGCAGTCTTGGTCCCCCAAATGATAAAAATTTGTTATGAATCGTTTATGAACTCATTCAACATTCAATTCTCTTACCCAACGTGTTGCAAACGCATGGCCGTCACAGCAGCTGCATCTGCGTGTCAGTTAAGGAGAGGCACCACGTATTAGAAGTCTCAGTGCTCTACGTATAAGAGTGAATTCAGATACTATAGAATATCGTGTTCAAAATAGTTATTCCTATCTGCTAAAACAGCCTTTCTTCACCAAATTCGGTCACAGTTTACTCGCGTTCGAAGCTCATTGCCGCTTTTCCATTCCGATTTCTAGATTTCTCAACTTATCAGCGCATTCTCAAAAAGCTCTAATTTGTACCACGAATATTGTTGCTAAAAACAAAATAATGCAACATGTTTCGAAATAATGCAACAGGTCCCGAAACGTGGTGCGCAGCAGTCGAATGTACGTGGAGGCATCGTGAGTGGAAGGTGGCGATCATGGCTCGAAGAATTCTCCTGGAAGACGCAGGGAAACGCCATAGACTAGTTCGGCTGATGAGCAGCCGAGATCCACTTTCAGCGCTGATCGGATGCCCAGAAGTACGAAGGGGAGGTTGTCGAGCCAACGTTCCCTTGGCTGGTGAGCAGTGAGGGCAGCTTTCAGTTGTCGATGAAGCTGTTCGACCATGTCATTGGCGGAAGGATGGTAGGCAGTTGTGTGGATGTGTCGAACGAATGCCCAGGATATTGGCAAGTGCGGTGAAAAGGGCCGATTGAAACTGACGACCGCGATCAGTGGTGACGACAGATGGGCATCCAAAGCGCGACACCCAGCCGTTTGTGAAAGCCCTGTCAACTGTTGGTGCCGTAATGTCGGAAATGAAAACGCTTCCGGCCATCTGGTGAAGCGATCCACACATGTCAGCAGGTAACAGGCTCCTTGCGATGACGGAAGAGAACCGACGATGTCGAGATAGACGTGAGAAAACCTTGCGTCTGGAGGCCGAAACGGGGATGTTGCCCTGACAGTGTGACGGTGAACTTTAACGCGCTGGCACTCAAGGCAGGTTCGCGCCGAGCGTCGGACATCAGCATTGATGCTTGGCCAAAGGAAACGAGATGTGACTAGCTTCTGGGTCGCACGAATTTCAGGATGGCTCATGTTGTGCAATTGATCAAAAATTGCACGACGAAAAGCTGAAGGCACGAAGGGCCGAGGGACACCAGTAGACTCTTCGCACGTTTTAATGAGGTAGAAAATGGAAGCGGGCACTCCGTGAACGATAGAGACGTGGATGAAGAGCGAAGATGATGCAGCTCAGGATCGGTGCTTTGGGCAGCTGCTAGCTCTTCCATGTCTAGTGGTGGCTGGGTCGACAAGGACATCGATGCGGGATAGTGCATCAGCAGCAGCATTTTCCGGCCCATGTACGTGTCTGAGATCCACAGGGAACTCGGAAATAAAGCACAGTTGACGGATCTCCCGTGCAGTATAATTGCTGTGATTGCGATGCAAGGCAAACGTCAGGAGCTTGTGGTATGGAACGACGTAAAAGTCCCGGCCCTCCAATAAATAACGAAAATGTTTGATGGCGAGGTATACCGCGAGGAGTTCTCGGGAAAATTTACTATACTTTGACTCTGGTGGCTTCAGTTTTTGCGAGAAAAACCCAAGGGGCTGCCAACCGGATACGTGCTGCTCGAGAACAGCGCCAACTGCCACGCTTGGTCAGCCATTCCAGATCCAGCCCTGACAGCGTTCAGTTTTCGAACTGATTTTTTTATTATCGCGCTGCACCCGCCGCGCGGCCCAAATGCCAACTTCTTCTTCCTTGACGAGCAGCGCATTGAGGCCCTACTTATATATGCCTAATGAACACACTATGTCCTTAAAACGTGTCAAGTTTGAAAACGCTGCTTGCATTACTTTCGGAGAAAAAAAATGGGGAATACGTAACTTATTTTAAACTGTCGCAAAATTAGACATATTTAAAAGCTATTTTCTTAAGGTCTACAAACTTGAAACTGTATGACTTCATTTTTCATTAGACATGCATTTCAGGTAAAAAATATCTTCCTTGAAACAAAAATATTTGTATTTTTATAGCATCTGCAATTTTCGAAAATTACAGGTGACGAAGCTGGTGCCTCCATGTTGGTGAAGTTTGATATTTTTCTCGTAAGTCTTGCCGTTAATCATAAAACGAATTGAACTTTCGGGCTACCTGGTGAGAGGTGCACGAAATATAAAATACTCAACGAAATCTAAAATATCAACTTTTGAACCCGTGTCGATCTCTCGTGGAATCACCCATACGCTAATTAAGATTCACGCACCTTACGAAACTATTGCTCCAGAGTGATTATTAATGTTTGTTCACTTTCACTGAAGCTTTCACTTGTAGCCCTCTGATTCTTCCCCCCCCCCCAAAAAAAAATTTCTTGAACTGTTCTTCTGAAGCCAGATAAATAAAGTCATTTACACATCCGTGTCACGCCTGTGCAGTGAAAGCTATGGTGGAGACCTGTTGCCATGTTTAATCGCGGAGTCAACACTTTCTCGGCACGGATGGCCATCTTCTTCGTACGTTCTCGGCATATATGGCCAGGCGATACGCCGTGTGCGGCGAACAACGTGATATGGCACCTAATGTGCATAGTTGGCCTCTACAAAAAGAAAAACCTGCTTCACCGGTTGCCGCTTCACGCCTATGTTAGCTTTTGAAAACTCAAAAGCCAGCCGTCTTTCTTGGCATGAACTGATATAAACATTCATTCATATTGACCATTCTGCAATCAAGTTTGCACAGCAGGCTACTAAAACTATACTCGTTGATGAAAGTCATTTGTATCCTGTAGGCTGCTTTCTTTCGCATGGTACGCTTCAGGTTAGAAACAAACACATGCGTATAACAAACACACTGGACATTGCGCTATTCAGGCGGAGTACCAAGGTTTGTCGGCGCATGCCCTGCTCTGTAGCAATATTTTACACAGCGATAAACCTAGCAAGAAGAGCACACATCGTCGTTCTTACAATGGCCGCTGCAGATTTTCACCGTGTCGAAGTCGATAACTTTCACTCGGCCTCCAGGCACTATAAGCATGCTGCAAAGAGGTAAGAAAAAACGGTTCAGTTACTTATTCTTCGTAACATAGACTAAAAATTTAAATACTTACCTATCAGTCAGGAACAGGCATTTTTTAAATTTTATTTTCCAAGTCCACCCTGAGGCATAATAACTTTTAATAAAAATTGGGAGATTCCACGTACAGTGCGAATCAATCATCTTTTAAGCACGAATGAGGAATGATTATATACCACTTTAAAAACAGCACAATATTGCGAGGCTGACGTAAATTATGCTGTACACGACTTCCACGTCATCATTATTATGTTTGCGCCTGGCATTTGTGTTCGTCGTCTATTCACGTCCCGTATTACCAAATTTGGTAAATGTGAAGCTAGTGAAACGGCCATGAGCGCATCATGAGCGTCACATGTTGTTACGCTGTTAGATGACACACATCTCATGATTGTCATGTTTGCACCAGGCACCTACCTTCGTCATCCATTCACGTCACGTAACACCAAACTTGGCACATGATCGATTGACTGATTTGTGGGGTTTAACGTCCCAAATCCATGATATGATTATGAGAGGCGCAGTAGGGGAGGGCTCCGGAAATTTTGACCTCTTGGGACTCTTTAACGTGCACCCAATTATGAGCACATGGGCCTACAACATTACCGCCTCCATCGAAAATAAACTTGGCATATGTAAAGCTGGTAACACGGTAAAGAATACAATATGAGAGTATCATGTAGTCATGTTCTTAGATAGCACGCATATTATGCTTATCATGTTTGAACGAGTTATGTACCTTCGTCATTCATTGACCTCCCGTAATACCAAATTTGGTATACGTGGAGCAAGCGAAACGGCGACGAGCGCATCGTGAGCGTGGAGTGTAGTCGTGTTCCCACGTAACACGTTTCTGATGATTATAATGTTCTGACCAGTCATATCATAGAGCTTCGTCAGCCTTTCATGTGCCGAAATACCAAATAGGGTATACGAAGGAAGCGAAACTGCTGCGAGTGCACCATGACCGTGGCATGTAGTGATGTTCTTACAAGACACGCATGGCATGACTATCAAGTTTTGATCAGTCATACTATATACATTATTCATCTATTCGTACGACGTAATACCAGGAAGTGTATATGAAGGAAGCGAAACTGCTGTGAGTGCATCATGACCGTGGCATGTAGCCATGTTCTTACATGACACGCATGTCATGATTGTCACGCTTGCACCGTTAGTATACTTTCGTCATCCATTCACATAACGTAATACCAAATTTGGTATATGTGAAGCCAGCTGAACGGCCACGAGCGCACCATAAGCATGGCGTGTCGTCATGACTTACATGACATGTATGTCATGGCTTCCACGTCAGGGGTTGTCACTTATGTTCGACATACCAGTTTTGCAATATGTCATGTGAACGAAACCACCGAGAGAGCAGCAATAGCATGAGATGTAAATCATGAAATTTATGACATACATGTCATGATTTTCATGTTATCACTATTCACCCGTCACTGTGTGACGTGCCCGTCTTACAGTCATGTTATGCCATATGAATTTGGGCATGGATCTCATTATCGAAATGGCCAGGTGAGCTCGATGTCTTAGGCAGCGCGATGGACGGATAGATGGACGTATATGGTCAAAGTAGCTAAAGTACATATGCAGGTTTGCTTCTTCTGTAATCCAGTAATGAGCGGTGGTGAACTCCACGAATCCAACATTTGTAGACTGGAGAACAATATCATGGACAGAGAGCTCCTAAATGCACTCCCAAAAAGAAACCGGGCGTATGTTTTGTCATTGAATGACAATACAGTCATGTTAATGAAATATCAACTGCAAGAAAATGCCATATATTTAGTTTAAATAGTAAAACATGTGGTAAGCGAGCAAGAAAATGTTGACATATTGGCGAGACTTTACGACCCTTCGCAGGACTGTGCGAATTAGTAAAAGAAACAGTAATAAAACTCGGTCAGAAGTCACATGGCACTTAAAAAAGGAGTTACAACTCGAGTTAACGAAGAGATAACGACTTTCGAATGGTTGCGTTAAGTTAGGTTGTTTGTAAAATCAAGAAACTGATATTACGGTTCATCGAAATTTAGAAGTTTAGTGCAGCATCACACAAACGCTACCGGCACATTGAGTTCGCACTTCGGCTTCAGTCACATCAGCGAGGGGGACTAAGGACCGTGCATGTCGGGCATCTCATGCCACTCAGACAAGGCATTCTTTGTGCACACTTGATGCAGGCCAGGTCAAGAGAAGCTATACCAGGCTGCCGGTGTGCAATGACGCGAAGAAAAAAAAGCAGGCTGCAGGAGAAACTCTTGAGTATGGCATCACGGCACAGCGACCACTGCCGCACATGAAATGCGACTTGCTAACAGTGCACAGCTATCGATTGCCTGCGGCTGTTGCTTTGTGGAAGCCCCATGGCTTGCAGCCTCACCAAAAAGGCAGCTAAGCACATGCATGCATAAGGCACCTGCGTGTTTACGCGATTGTGTTAGCGCACACGCTGTAATTAAAACACACCTGAGACAAAATTGCGGAGAAATCTTATTTTTTTACTGACGTCTGTTACGAAACTTTTTGCCAACTTGAGTTGGGTATCCAAAATGTTTTCTTTATTTAGGATTTGTCACAGCGTCGAATATTCTGGGTACCTTACAGGAACTGCTGCTTTCTACAATAGATTGAGACTTCGCATAATCAGATTTCTTTAGATCAAGTGTGTGAGCCGTCAGCTTACCAAAATCGCATGACCTGAATGTGACATGGCGTGGTGAGCAACGTGATTCTTTGGCGTATTAAGTTCACTAATCACCGAAGATATAAATTAATGATTTGAAAGATTAGAAAGAAAGTTTACAATTGCGCAGTCCTAGATGGTTATCAGCTCGTAGGAACGATTGTAAGCTGAACGTAGGAAACCGGATAAATGCATTCAAGTTCTTGTTTGTCGGACTTCATACACTACTTCGACATTATCAGAACAAGAAGAAAATGGTGCAACATTTATTCTCAAGCGTTTGCTCTCGCGATGTCACCTGTGGTAATTATGTTTTGTACTGGCTGCATGTATTGCTGTGCATGCATCCTTATCTTTTCAACATATTAGCTGTTAAAAACTATCCGTATTTTAATTCAACGAGAAGTAATCAACCCATTTCATTACCTTCAAAGAACGTTAAGCTGCAGTTTTCATGATCTCTAGAATACCTTTTTGAAAGCTTTATTGAGAAACACGATTTATCTCATTGGATGCTGTGAAGAGAGCACTACACAAAAACCACGTTTTTCACACTGGCGTGCTTTTCGGTCTCGGTAAGCCCATGATACGTAAAAACAACTGGTCAAAGTATGTGAATGCATTGATGTACGCCGTAACAGTTGCGTTCAATTTAATATATGCGCCATATGCTGCGCTTCACGTGACTGCTATTTGCTCGGTACGAAGGTCAGAACACAGATCCAACGCGTTCGTTTTATTTGAGAACAGTCAGTACAAATAGCCAATTTCTTACAGGTTCTAATAAAGGCTAAAACGGATATAGAACATATATTGATAGAACTAATACCATTGTGTGTCGTACATTTTTTACAACGCTGCTAATATACCAGAGAGGCCGGCAGCATCTGGCGCTCCACGTGATGCACTTCGTCTTGGGGATGCAATGTGCTTCCTTTACAGCGCACTCTTACAAACTGTGCAGTAATAGATAGATCAAGAAGTGGCCAGAACATGTGATTAGATATTATTATGAATAAAAACACCATTGAGTATAGTGACAGTTTTCAGCATTTTTTTCGCGTTGTAACTAGAACTAACATGTGAACTTATTCCTGGAGTTACCACAAACGGTTATGTCACTCAGCCTATATGGCGGAAAAGCCTTGAAGCTGGATTATGGAAATGAAGTGGATCACTTTGCTTTCCATAGTCACGCAGCCTAATACTATCGTGCTTGCCAGTCCTCAAAATTGAAGTATGTATGTCATAATGTACACACGGACAGACAGACAGATGAACTTTATTTGCGTCCTGGGATGATAGTTCCCAAGAACCCACCAAAGGCGGCACCCACGACGGGGTCGGCAACCAAAGGCTCCCAATCTCTCCACAGGCTCCCTGGAACGTTGTGAACCTTTGGTTTCGTCGTGAACCTTTGGATTCAAAACCACGAGTGTGAGCTTGCTACCTGGTCCGACTTCAAGACTGCAATTTCGGGAGCCTGCAGCAACCAAACTTTGAAAAATGTTTGCGCCGAACAACGCCAACGCCAGCTTGCTAAACAGCCCGGTTAGACGTACACGAGCTACATAAAAGATGTCATGAATAATTGCTCCTGTGTCAACGCCTCCATGAGTGAAGTGGAAAAAGTTTAACATATCCTCAAAGGCATCGAGGACGATGCATTCCACATGGGTGATTCCACGAGAGATCGACACGGTTCAGAAAGTTGATATTTTAGATTTCATTGAGTGTTTTATATTTCGTGCACCTCTCACCAGGTAGCCTGAAAGTCAACTTCGTTTTATGATTAACGGCACAACTTACGAGAAAAAAATATCAAACTTCACCAACACGGAGGCACCAATTTCGTCACCTGTCATTTTCAAAAATTGCAGATGCTATAAAAAGACAAATATTTTTGTTTCAAGGAAGATATTTTTTACCTCAAATGCATGTCTAATGAAGAATGAATTCATATGGTTTGAAGTTTGTAGACCTTAAGAAAATAGCTTTCAAAAATGTCTAATTTTGCGACAGTGTAAAATAGGTTACGCATTCCCTATTTTTTTCTCCCAAAGTAATGCATACAGCGTTTTCAAACTTGACACGTTTTAAGGATATAGTGTATTCATTCGGTACGTATATTATTGCTGCCGTACGGCAAGTGTAAATTTTTATATATTGCCTCAAAATTCTCATAATGGCCAAAGTGTACTCCACAAAAATTTGAATAATAAAAAAACCCCAGCTTCGATTTTTCTTAAAAT